GCTTAGAGAGGGCTGAAAGCCCTATGAAGCGGTATATAAGTCTAACTGCTATTGCTATTGCTATTGCTTATCTGTGGGAGTCTGGGTTGCTGCCAATGTCTTGTCTGTGAGTAATTACTGTGAATAAAGTGTGGCTGACAGTAAGCTCCGACTAGTGAGTCGGCGTGACTCACCAGTCGGAGGGTGGTCAGAACACGAAGGTAACAGTATTCTGTGTGCCTTCAGCATTTAGTCATGTCCTTGGAGACGTCTTTGGACAGTGCTGGCTCTTCAGCTTTGAAACTGAGATGAGCAGTGCCCCCAGAGCCAGAAACGACTAACACATATGTGTGAAGGGAACATTTACCTTTTTAAAGCAATTAAAGTGATTGTAACTGGTGGATGCCATTTTTAGCAACACAATTTACATTTCTCAATCCAACCTAAAGTTTTATGGAGTAGCAATACAGAACGTTCTTGGTTAATAATCGAGTAATTGGGATGGACAACTCCATTACTAAGCAGCACAGTCATAAAGCACAGAGTCACATGACTCCACCAATTTAAGATGACAGTTCTGACAGTTCCAGTTGTCAACATTAAGTGAATCCCACATGGTAATTAATCAAATTCCACACAAGCAGTATTAATCCCATGGACTTTTGCTTGAGAAGCCAGCAGTGAAGATTGCAAATAATGGTCACTTAATTGCAGAATGTTGTAGAATTGCAATGGTGGCCCAGTGGCCAATCATGATCACATGATTGGGGAGGATGCTGTCATAATGAACAGTTGCTGGATAAATGATTGTTAATCAAAGTCTATTTGTAATAGCCCCTATTTACAAGAGAGACAATAAGGAAGCCCCAGCTACTTACAGAACTATTGGACTATATAATAAACTATATGCAAATTATCTAAATAATAAATTTAAGCTGGAGCAATCAGAAGAGAAGTCAGCAGATAAACAAACCAGCTTTAAAGATGGGGAGTCAGCGGTAGACTTTATATTCTGATACTGCATAGTATATTCAAAAGTATATCATCTTCTTCATATAATGGCCCCATAATCCCTTGTGTGGTGAAGTCTGGGACATCTGAATGGAGCTAAAAGAGTGTTTTAATGGCCGTATGCTCTTCCTGTCACCACTATATTCAAAAGTCTATGCAGAATTTATAATTTGCCTTTATATATGCTATTCCTAGAGTTGATTCATCTTTATAATTTTGATTTTGAGGACTGAGGCTGCCCATTTGTCCATTCAACATTAGTATAAAAAGCCACTTATTGCAGTCCTTGGGTTTAGCTAGACTGCAGCAAATGTTGCTAGCTAAACTAACAAAATTCAAAGCTAACTTGCAATATCCCAATAAATGATGCTGTAGTTTGATGTATTGGCTTGGCTCTCAAGCATTATTCTATGGAATGGGCTGGGCTTTCATTGCATGATAAACCATAAACTACCAACTCCATTTGAGTCTTGAGTAGAATGTTATGTATTCAGCTAAAGAAACTCAACCGAAACATACACTCATTCCTCTTAGAGGCAGCCCATGGCCTTTTTCTGACCCACAGTTCTCAGGCAGGATAGTCAAAATCACATGAGCCCTGCAGGTCATGGATGGGCATTCTGGCTACTCTGCTGGTACTGCTGAGTAACAAACCCTTGCATCCCATTTTGCCCAAGAATACAGCCTCTGGATCAGCGTGTGTGTGTGTGTGTGTACACGTACTATTTTCCTGAAAATAAGACCTCCCTGAATAATAAGCCGAATTGGGCTTTTGAGCGCATGCGCTAGAGAGGGGGAAAGGGAGGGGGAACATGTTCCATGCACCCCTACACACCCTTACCTAATGGCTGCTCCCGCAACCGTAGCCACTTCTGTCATGATAATGGTCACCGCCAAAAGTGGCAGGACCAGCGATGTGCAACACAGCAGCAGCCATGAGGTGACCACGCTTGCTGCCTCCTGTAACTCAAAAATAATAAGACCTCCCCGAAAATAATGCCAAGCACTTATTTTGGGGGTCAAAATAAAATAAGACCCTGTCTTAGTTTTGGGAAACATGGTAAGAATACCCCCCTACAAAAAAAAATAGTTTACATAATCTTTATGGTGTAGCTTTTCTTTTCAAAACAATGAAATCTGGTGTCAATAAACTTTCTGTATTTTTTTTTTTAACGAATACAGCAAAGAACTAAAAGTAATTTGGAAATGTAGTTTTTAACAGCAACTGACAGATGTGCACGCTTGGAAAACCAATGTTGGTATTTTGCTAGAAAAGGAGAAAGGGGTTTTCTGATAGAGGAATAAACTATGGTGATTTTCAGGAAAGCTTGTTAATTATTGGAAAGGATGCCTACTGATGGACTCGTCTTTTTCTTCTCTTTTGCTCCAATTCCTTTTAATTCTTCACCACCTCACATTAAAATTACATCTATCAGCACTTCCCACTCTATGCAGTGAATATATTTAAAATTACATGACATCAAGACATATTGGTAACAGGGACCTAGTTGGGAGTCAGTAGGGAAATTCAAATCATGTTCTACTTGCAAGACACCACGAATAAATTAGAGAACAGATAGATGGCATGCAGATGTCTTATCTTTATATTCTGTCTTTTCAATCCCAAATATTATCAGTGAAGGTGATCTTACATTAAGATGGTTTAGTCAACAGCTGCACATCTAATCATTCCAAAATTTGTTCCATCCAGTTTCTGTGCTCATTAATATATATTTTAATCCATGAATGCCCATTTTATTTCAATGTGTACTACAAAGAAATAGTCACCCAAAAGTTACTGATCCCATTTCCCCTCATGAAGATTTCTCAAGGCATCTTATCACCAAATATGTCTTTTCCAAATGTGTTTCCCTATTGGAGGAGCACAACATTTAGAAAGGTAGCTAGTCATCAGGATATCTATATCCTCTATTATGTAAGTTAACAAAGGGAGAGCTGACCAGGTGATCTTCTGTTTCCTTTATTGTTCATCACCTATAATTTTACCACCTAATACAAAGACTTGAATTATCAAAGTTATATTTTGAAACCTGGGGAAGAGCCATCTTAATATTCTTCCTCCCAACCAAACTATCTAAACTTTTTTGTGTCTTCGTCCACTGGAATCCAATCCTTCCCTCCTGGGAATCTGGATTCCATCACACTCAAAGAAGGAAGGAAGGAAGGAAGGAAGGAAGGAAGGAAGGAAGGAAGGAAGGAAGGAAGGAAGGAAATAGATGGATGGATAGATGGAAAGAAAGAGAGAGAGAGAGAGAGAGAGAAAGAAAGAAAGAGCTTT